ATGGATGTTACCCCAGGGCCAATCTTCCTCAGCAAAAAGAGGAGGATTGGCATCGGATGTTAGCTCAGCGCTAATCTTCCTCACAAAAAAAAAAAAAAAAGAAGAAAAGAAAAAAGTGATATATTTGTTGCAGAAAATAAAAAAAAAAGCCGTGTCAGAGGTACACCAAACTTGTTAATATTGGTTACTTCCCCCCCTTTTCCCCTATATATATATACACCCCCAAACGCTACATGATCACTCAGACCTTTAACTTTGGGCTGGTCATTCACCACCAGAGGGCCCTGCTGGAAGAGTCATTTCTTACCCATATGTCAAATTTTCCAGGAAAAAAGCGCTCAGGAATTCGAGCAGCATAAAGGCCAGCTCCGGTGATGTACATCACAGCCATGAGGAAGAACCAGCCCATCTGGCCCACTGTGGTGGCCTTGACAAAGCCCTCAGCGATAGTAAAGTGCATGGTTGGCACAACACCGCTCAAGCCAAGTCCCAGGAACACTCCTGAACAAAGCAGATGGAAGATTGTCAAGCAGGGAAACATTCACTACATGAAGGCACTGTTGTCTTACTCTTGAATTCAGATATTTAGGATAATTAGCAATTTTCTGGTGAACAATACACATTTAGCAAATGTAGCCACAAGATGGATAACAGTCAACAAATATTTCTTCAACATCCAGAATGGGAAGAAGGCTGTGCAAGTGCTGATGTAGCTGTCACCTTTTAAGGAGCACCAGGAACAAGCACCTCACATTCTTTATTATCTGATAAGAAGCCTAACCAAAAATGACATGTCACAACTCTCTGATGGCTGACTTGGGTACAGAACCTAGATGGCAAGGCCTCAGGTGGCTTGCAAGCCAGAAAAGTAGGACAGGTTTCCATTAAGATGAGAAAAGACTTAAGTAATCAGAACTCTGACTTCCTGAGTAAACAGACACACCAGATCAGACAGTCTGTGGCTTCTGGGACACAAGAGAAGGTAAGAGGGAGGGAAAAGTGAGCACTTGCTCACCACCACCACACTGTACATTAACTGGAGGGCAAGGACCACCTTCTCCATTTTTGTAGATACCCTTGTGAAAGCACAATGCCTGGCACATGGTTGATGCTTGATGAATATTTAGTTTTTTTAACTGAACGCTAAAACACAGCCGATATTAAGAAGTCTAAAGGGACCGAAGATTAGTGGTAACTGGTGTGTAGCTGCAAGTAATAAAAGCTTAAAATAAGAGACGAGATGAGACAACACAAAGATGATTGTGCTTGTAGCTATTACATTATAGTCATGCGTCGTTTAATGATGGGGACATGTTCTGAGAAATGCATCGTTAGGCGAGTTTGTCATTGTGCGAACATCATAGAATGTACTTATAGAAACCTAGATGATACAGCCTACACACACCTAGGCTCTGTGGTACTAATCTTACAAGACCACCATCATATGTGCAGTCCATCATTGACTGGAACGTTGTTATGCGGCGTGTGACTGTAGTATGAAACTTGAGGGAGAACTGACCTTTGAAAATTCATGCAGTGTTTTGAAAGTTCTAAACACAAATCAGGGTTTGGGTGGGGTCCCAAAACTGTAAACCTTAGGGCCCAGAGTTGAGCCTATTAGGCTCAAGGTCCAAATACCCAGGAGGTTTTTCCACTGTGTCTTCCTACCCACCTGCTCTTGTCTGTCGGTGCTTAGGAGTGGCAAACCGGTCCCACTGTGCCACGATGATGGCAGAAATGCCCAGGACACAGACAATGGAGAGGTAGATGAGCCGTGGCTGTGGGGAGCAGTAGAAGGAGTAATAGAGCCAGGGGACAAAGCTCCCCATGATCAGTAGAGCAATCCCTGAATAATCCAGTCTGAAAAAGAGCCACAAAAATGAAACCAGTCAGTGGGAGAAATGAAGAAATCCTGCAGCTCATTTAACTGGTTCTTTCTGTTCTCCACCTGCTCCCAGACTGGACCATCTCCAGTCTCCCCTCACTTCCCACACAATCCATCCTATATCCTGGATAAAAACTCCACAAGGTCAAGCACTTCTATTTTGCAGTGCAAAAGGTTCAAGGAATCCCTGATTATCCCTTTTCCCTAGTTGTAAACACTATATCCCTTCATGGATACTTAAATTCAGGAGTTCTGTCCCAGTCCAGCTGGTTCCCAGCTTTATACTTAGGAAGGGCTCTGAATATTCCCAATTCTGATAGGTTGAGTTCTAAAAACAAAACCCTTAAATTGGGAGTATTAAGGGGTAATGATAAAAATGTATTCTTGTTACTGGTGTTATTGGGAAAAACAAAATAACACACCACTCCCACCAAAACCAACAAAAACAAGCAAACAAACAGAACTCCAGGCTCAGAGTTGGGGAGTATGGAAAGCATTAGATGGCGGAAATCTGGGGCTTCCAGCAATGCATGGGCAGTAAAGATAGGCTTTACTTGACAGGTGGATAGGAGCTCCGGTAGAATGAAGCACAGACTACTTCACCACGCCCTGCTTTGGCTCGGGTGATAACAAGGCAAGACAGTACTGGGTACTTGGACGTGGAGAGCAGCCCAGTGGCACCCCAAGTTTCACATAGCATAGTAGTGCACAGGTAGAAAATATATTTCACAATTGGGTTCCGCCTGTTGAGACTGCAGTGAATTTTTCCATGAAGGATTTAAGAGAAAAGCTTCATCACCCTATTATACCCACAAAATAGAAAGCCCTTCCTCTGGCACATCAGGGAATCTTTAGGAGTCATTGGAGGTTCCAGTACCCAGTCAGCACTCAGATCACAGGATGTGACAACAGTGCGTGGTCTTTCCCTACTGACATTCTTTCCACTCACTTGGAAAAAGTCCGAGAGACTTTCTCTGAATGACAATAGACGGTGTGAAAGAGCCAGGAGAAGCTGAGGCAGAGCACTGCACCCAAAAAGAACATCCCAAAAACCACCTTCTCCTGTAGAGGGGCCATGAAGTACATATTTGGTCTGAGCATGGTCAAGATTCCCAAAAAGAGAAACAGCACGAAACCTACAGGAAGGGGAAAAAAAAAAAGCCTGAGGACAAAGGGAATGTGTGCACTCTGACAGTTTATGGTGTTAAATTACTACTAAAACTACAGGGTTTAGCTGCGGGAACTGCAGTCTAAATTTCAGGAGAAAATGGCACCCATCATATAAACCCAGACAAAAAGACCATTTCCTGAAATCTTGGCATTTTGTTTTGACAATGGGAATTTATGAAGAAGAAGGAACTGCCTCCATCTAGGACAGATCTGATCACAAGACAACATGTAGTTCTAATTTCTTCTCCTGTTTCTAGGCCTTCCTCCTCCAGTCTTAAAGACCAGTGATCAACAGTCAACCAAGCTCACTGGTAGTTTGAAGGCACACGCCAGCTATGAATCAATCAGAACACCTTTCTTCTTCCTTCCCAGGGACAAAGGATACATAATCCTGTGGCATTTAAGGAGACAAAAAATTGGATTTTTCACCATCCAAATCACTCACCAAGCAGATGGGTCCAGATGTTGCCAGTTTCAGTGTGGATGCGGAAGATGCTCTTGAAGCAGGCCCGAAAGGAGGGCATGGGGGGTCTATGGCCATGTAGCAGGTAGTCATTGTCCTTCAGCCAGTCAGGAAGCACATCATAGGGGATGACCCTCCAACGTCCCTCCCAGACCTAGAATATATACACTCTCTCTTAGTGGGGCCCTTGAGAATACTAGTTTTCTCAAGGACAAGAAGTGAAGGAGAGCTGGGCTAGGAGGACATCAGCCAGGCTTTGGATGGTCCTGGGTAACAGTGGGGAACCAGCCAGGGCCTGGCGACATCCAAGACACAGCATGAAAGAGGCCATCACGGGACTGACCATTTTTTTCAATGCTTTTGTTCTTGGGTCACGTTAGTTTATCTGGATATGCTTTAGATAAGCGTTTCTCAATCTTTAAAGAAAATACAGCAGGATCTCCTTTAAGCTACTCAAAATTTCAAAATTAAGTAAATATAGTGAATGAAAACAAAGACATAGAAATTATACATACGGTTTAAAAAATATACATTTTATCCCTCCTTTGCCCCTCTCCTCCAGGAGATACTCTATCTTTTGCCCCCTGCTCTATTCTTTCCCCCATCAGCTTTCCAGTTCTTACTACGTTGAGATTATAACTTTTTAGAGCAGGGCTTCTTAACTAAGGATACATGGACAATAGACAGAATTCAGGGAATGGATGGAAATCTGGATGGAAGAAAGTTATCTTTATTTTCATTCACCTCAAATTAAAATTTAACATTTCCTTCAATTATAAGTGCGAGCAACAAAGCACAGCAGTATTAGAACTTGTGACTGTCACCATCAGAAATCACAGATATTCTCACACGTCAGTTTTGCAGATATCAAAATATCGTTTCTACTCATCACTACTTAGAAATTATAAATTTTAATAAAACACGTTATAGCTTTTCATTAGTGCATATTTAATGTGTTATGAAGGAGTGCATATTACTATGTCACATTTTAATATTTTGATGACTGCCAAAGGGATTCACAGCAAAAACAGTATATTCTGTTTTAGAATATATTTTGAACAATGCCTAACACGTAGGCAATAAAAATTTAGCCAGCCTTTCCCGATTTACTTCACCTTAAGCAAAAACAAATGCATACACAGCAGTAAAAGCTCTTCAGCCCAACACATGCTTGCCAGCTGGGAACACCCTGGTAAGCTTCTACCCTCCCCTTCCAGGACAGAAGGTGTTAGGCGTACCTTATACACAAACTCCTCCATCTTCTCCATGGCGTGGTGGGCTTGCAGGGGGAGTGTCAGTACCCGTACCTCCTCCTCCTCCTCCTGGGGCACTGGGCATGCTTGCTCTTCTTCAGCCTGTATGGAAAAAAAAAACAACAAAAACCAATCCTAGGAGTCATCTCGTAAACTGTCCTACTCCAGATGAGAGAGATCCAGAGAAACCCACACTCAATGCTTTCTACCCAGCCTCTCTCCCACACATAGGGGCCTTGTCTCCAAAAGCATGACAGTTAATAAGTTTACAACACTGTAGTTCAAGATCTATTAATACTTTGTCAATGCTGGAGTGAAAACTCAATTCAGCATGCAGGAGACAGACATGGAGAATGGCAGTGGAGGGACACAGGACTGTCACACTGGTCCTAAATGTTCTTTAAGTCTGAATGGCCCATCCTTATCTCTAGGACAGTGGTTCTCAACTTTCCCCAATTCCCCAAATATTTCTCTCTTCCAGATCACTAAACTTTCAAAACAATGAAAAAGAGTCTCAGAGATTCCTTTAACAGTTTAAATCTGTGCATAGTTCTCTGTTCACGGACTCTGGGGATGCTATCATGACTGAAACTTCATATTCATAGCAGCTCTCAGGAGTATCAGGGCCTCAGAACTGGTTCCACAGAAAGCAGCAGCACTGACTCCTGTACCCAAAGGAGTCTCGACACAGTGTGCACACGGGAGAGCACTTGCCTACCAAGGAGAGACTCTGTCCCAAGGCTCCAAGCCATGGAGATGGAGAGCCTGGCAGTTCAACTCCTTCTCTGGGCTATTCTCTTTCTCTCTCCTGTTGATGGTCCCTGGTAAACAAATGGCCCCTCTTAGATTCTGTGATATAGATTCCCACTGGTCAACCCCAATATCCATTTTCTCTCTTCCTCAGTAACAGAGTCCTTGGTTCTTTTCAGGGTGGCAATGTTATTGTAATTTTACTCAGGCCCAATGAAAAAGACTACATTGTCTAGCCTCCACTGCAGCTGAATATAACTATGTAACTAAGTTCTGGCCTATGGGATGTAAACGGAAGTGTTGCAAGGTACTTCCAGAAAAGGCAGGCCCTTCTCCTTTCCCCTCCCTCCCTTGTGGTGGCTAGTACATGGGCGTGATGGGTAACACATTAAGGATGACCGAGGAGCAAGACAGGTGCCTGACAGTAGTGGAGCCTCCATATCAGCCTTGGATTGGTTACTTCTAGAATTCTTTTATGTGAGAGAGACTTCTATCTTGTCAAAACTATAGGGATTTTTGGGGCCGGCCCGGTGGCGCAAGCAGTTAAGTATGTGTGCGCCACTGCGGCGGCCTGGGGTTCACCGGTTCGGATCCCGGGCGCGCACTGATGCACGCTTGTCAGGCCATGCTGTGGCGGCGTCCCATATAAAGTGGAGGCAGATGGGCATGGATGTTAGCCCAGGGCCAGTCTTCCTCAGCAAAAAGAGGAGGATTGGCAGATGTTAGCTCAGGGCTGATCTTCCTCACACACACAAAAAAACAAAACTATAGAGACTTTTGTTTGTTATATGAAGCCAAACCTAATCCTAAATGACTGCTTCCTTCATTCAATCAGACATTTATTTACTAATTACTTACTGGATTTCAGGCCTTGTGCTAAACACTGGGGTTATAAAGATGAGTGAACTCACAAGAGCTTACAGTGGGAAAACCAGACAAATCAAAAGATATTTATAACACAGTATGATAAGGACTGGGACAGAGATATTCCCAGGGTGCTACAGTTCTTCCCTTGGGGTGGGAGTTGGGATCTTAAAAAAAGGAGATGGACAGAGTTCTCAGGAGATGGTGACCCAGGGAACGACTCCTGGAAGACAACTTACTTTGGTTGGGTTGGCAATTACCCGTTTGCCCTTCTCTTCTAGCAGGGGTCCCAGTTCAGCCAGCTCCACCGTGTCCGTTTCCCTGTTACTGGCAGGAGCCCCATTGCCCTGTGCCACCACAGATCCTTTGTGAGAAGACATCTGGCTGGTACCTCAAAACCCTGCAGCTTCAGCTTGGGGAAAGGTTGGGGTCTCTCAGCCCCAGGGGGCAGAGATCTCCCTGTGATGGTAGACACTAAAAGCAAACACAAACATGACAGGTGTTGACAATTTATTCCTCTTATAGTTTCATTTCTACAAGCCAATATTGAATAAGACAGCTAATCAACTGACACCGTCTCCAATTCTAAAGGCCAATTAATTGCTAAAATGAAATCTATTCCTTGATCTCCCTCCTTAATATCACTCTTTACTCAGAACCTCTCCAATCTTACAGATAAGGCTGAAAACATAACACCTGGTTGCTTGCCTTCAAAGGATCTGTGGTTATTGTACCAAACTGTCACCACAGAAAAACAGCTCCTCACCCTCAACTCCCTCCCAGAGGCATGGAGCCCATTAATCAGAAGAGTCTAGCCTACCATTCCCAAAGCTATTCTACCCAAGAAAGGCCTGCTTTTGAGATTGTGGAGCAATAACATGAAGCCAACAGCCAGCTGTAATTACTACAAGACCACCCAGGCTTAGAAATGAATTAAATGCCAAATGAACTAAGTTGGGCTTTGTCTACAAATGCTCAGACAAGTGTGCCTTGAATGCAAAAGACACCTGGCAGTGGGCTGGATGCCTGGTGGTTAATTTCTCTGCAAGGTCTACTAATTCTGTTATAGGATTACAGCCTGGGTTCAGTAATTGGCTAACAAGCTTTCATCACAATCTCTCCTTAAAGCAAGCAATAACTTACCTGGAAGCAGGAAAGTGAAGACAGGGAGGCAGCCCCAGCCTTGTTCCTTGCCACACACATACCAAACAACTGGCTCGGCAAGAGCTTGTTCCAACCACCACAGCTCATAACCTAAGCCCCACTCAAAATGGTTTTTCAGAAACTAGAGACAGGCACCAGATCCTTTAGGAAAACCAGAAAAACCCAGAACTCAGTTTTCTAGGAAAAGTCTCAAACACCTCAGGTTTTCCTGAGATGGACTTCAGCAGCAGTCTTTAATCAGGCCTCAGGGAGATGAAAATAACATTGAAAAGAGGGGGGAAGTGCCCAAAGATTTTCAATATCTTATAAATTACTAGTGTTTTTCCCCCCAGAAACAAAGCAGCTTATTACTCATAGCAATAGCAGTAGCCAGAATATTAACATTTTCCTGCACTGGTTACCCGAGCTCAACAACCAGTGGGCAATGCAAAGAGGACCAGGTAACACCTGCAAAAGGCAGGAGTTCCACTACAGGAGAGGAGACAGAATTGGGGAACCCAAATCTTTTATAATGGGCAGTAAGCTCGACTTTGTGCCCAAGGAGACACTATAGCTATCTTCCACAGCAGTGGACTATACAAACATCTTTGACATCTTGTACCAGTACTTTTTTTACCCAAGAGTAATCACAATTCCTTCTCAGGGACTCTAATTGGATATATGTAGTCAGGTGAGGGCAATCCTCAAATTCAGAACAGTCATGCTGGGCTCAGGTCACAAGCACAGCTGAAAGCAACAGCAAATCTAGTTGCAGAGAGCAAACAGTAACTCCCTGAACAGCAGACCTTTCTATGGTGAAACACATAGACAGTTCCTCTTCCTTCAAACGGCAAGACTCTGACAAGAGAGACGCCAGCCCACAGTCACAGCCAACAATTGAGCCCAAGGAGAACAAGAAACTAGAGGCCCCCAAAAACCTCAGGAGACAGGCAACCCATATGAGAACAAACATCGGGAAATCTTTTTCAACGGGCTCACCACAAAACATATTTCCTCAAAGTGAAGTGCTACCAAATAACCAGCTTTACTAAGAAATAATCTGTACTAGAGCAAAAGATGTAAATAGCTTTGGGCATCTTGAAAAGTCTGAAAAGGGAATACATTTAGCTTAGAATACTGCTGCCAGTACTTTAGAGGCAAGCCATGGGGAGGCGGGGAGGATTACTCTCAGGTTCTGGGATACAATACTACATGGATCATAAATTGATCCATATCCCTGATTTTGGTCAGCTTGTATTTCAAAATGAATGAATGAATGAATGGGGCAGCACTCCAGCCAACAAGCATATGACTTATCCACTTGTTCTTATGGTTGTAGGGCTTTCTCCTATCCCTTTCCCCAGAGTAAACCAATGCATTCACTGAATATTTAACAAATGTATTTAGTACTAGCACCCTAAGGCATTCTAAAGTACTGTGCAAAACACAAAGTTGAACAAGTTAAGTCATTGTTTTCAAAGAGCCTATAATCAGATGGCATAAGGTAATTTGTGATACGTATAAAACCAGTGATACAATTTCACTGTTCCAGGAGGGCAGTGGAGGGAGAGAACCCCTAAACTACAATGGCCACACACTAAGTTCAGTTATTTTGAATGCTGTGTAACTATTTTACTGGAGGCAATGAGAATAATATAAACAAACTTTAATTTGGGCAATTAGGCTCAGAGATCAGATGCAGAATCTAGCTTTGTATTCTTACCAATTTCCTCATTTGATCTTAAATTTTTTACGCCCTCAAGTCTAGTGTTCTCTTAGGATGATTTCAGTCTCTTGGCTATCAGCAAAGTCTTTTCTCCTTCAGTCCAAACCACTTCCTGTTAATTCTTCTGATTCCCTCCAGCTCCTCTTTCACTAGCTCCTACACCTTCCCTCAGCATTGTTGTCTAGACCCAGTCACTAAACCTAACAGACACTCCAGTTAACTCACAAACCAGCCATCAGCTACAATTCATCATACAAGGTACGTCATCACGCATTAATGTACATACAATGGAGGTCAATGGAGATCATGTCATCATAATGAGCAAAGTCCATTGTCCAGTTTGGTCTTCTAAACTGTAGCAACACAGAGACAGGAAAGGGAGAAAGGGAACGGAGGTCTGGCAAAAAAGAAGAGCAAATAACACCAGGACCTGAAAATCTAACTTCTGATAGGGTGGACCACTCAAAAACAACTGGGAATTATTACAAGCAAGTGTTTTAGTCTCTATCATATAAAATCAGCATAACCCCTAAGGTGTTAAGACTGATTCTAGGAGTACTCAAGAGAGCCAGATACACTTCAACTTTCTACCAGCTTTCTACATCCTCATGTATTTTAGAGTAAACATTTCCCCTCAAACTCACCACACCCAATATGGCAAATTATAATTCGGCCAAACTCTGCTGAGTGCATTTTTGATGGGATTTCTTCAATTCAAGCTAATAAATCTTTACCACTAAGCTTTCCAACTGGATAAACCTATGATATTAGAGAATAAAGCTGTGGAGGCAGGGAGGTGTTTGTGCTCCCATAAATAAGATAATTCTGTGCCAAACTTGGGACAGGACTGATTCTTAATCACCAGCCAGTTAGCTGAAGAGTTTATTTCCCCTCATAGTTCCTTGAGACATTTATTCTGTGAACCAGTTCCCAAGTTTTCCAGGCTATAGCACACTCCCTCCCTGGAGTCGAAGGCACATGGCTTCTTCTACGAGTTTTGAATCTCGGGTCCTGGACTCTTAGAGATTCCAAGGGTAGGCTCTATCAAGGCCTACCTGACCCTAATTGTTCTAAAGCAAGACTGGTCTAGCAGCAAAGACAGAACACAGCCTCTTCTCTATGTGCTCTATGTTAGGGAAGGTAGTTTCACAGCACTGTTGGGGAAAAACAAGTCGAGGCAAAGGCCCATGTGTGGAAATTACTAAGCTGCAGTAATTAGGCCTCAGCATTCCTACTTGATGCTGACTTACGAGTCACTGACTTAGGAGTCTGAAGTGGAAAATCACAATCTAATTTCCTTTGTAGCTCTTCTCCAGTTACAGTTATCCCAACAGAAGAGGTCTTTTTGATCTGGAACAGATAGGCAAGCTTTTCAAATGCCACAGCAACAACAACAACAAAACGTAAGGTACACAGGCATATGAAGGAGTTTCATGCCAGGCCCTATTTTTAACACCCGGTTTTCAAGTACATTTCTGGTATATGGTCAACACATTTACATACCATAGTGATCACTTTGTACTCTGCACCTCAGAAGCCCCAACAAAGACAAAAGCAAACTAGGTGCAGGTGCATGCCTAAAAGCCAATCACTTGGAACTAGTTTGGCTAGAGGGGACTTTCTTTTCTCTTTTGCAGGGGAAGATTCGCCCTAAGCTAACATCTGTTGCTAATCTTCCTCCTTTTTTCTTCTTTTGCGCCCCCCCTCCAAGACCCCAATACATAGTTGTGTATAGCTGTAAGTTCTTCTACGTGAGCTGCCACCAGAGCATGGCTACTGACAGATGAGTGGTGTGGTTCCACGCCCAGGGAACTGCACCTGGACTGCTGGAGTGCGCCAAACTTTAACTGCTAGGCCATCAGGGCTAGCTCTAGAGGGCACTTCCAAAGATCTTTTCAATCCAAGACAGCTACAAACTTCATAAACATTAATCATGCCCCAATATTTCTGAGCAGGAAAAAGGAATCAACTTTGAGCATAATGAGAGGAACAAAGTCCAGTGGGCAACATTAGGGACAAATGGACATTGAGGACAAAATGTAATGACTGATGAGTGCCAGCATGAGAAAAAACCCACCATAATAAAGCTTCTGGATTTAAAGATAACTGTTTAGTTCACCAGTGTGATCACAAGTAGATGGGACAGCATAATGCAGAGCAAGAGTGTTCAAGAGTTTCAGTTTGGCTTATATGACAGGAGTCAAGGGAAATTTCCTAGGGAAATAGAGAACAAGCTCGGTGGCCTAGAAAGAAGCACAAATTCTATCCTTTATCCATCTGAGAACACCTATTGATTATTTACAATACACATGGCACTGTGGCTACAGAGACGAGGCAAAGAGAGGAGTTAAGAGGCTTGACATGGTTGCTGGCCTTTATTTCAAGAGGCGGCAATAACTTTTGTTTTCTACTAACATCATTAAAAGGCAAAGCCATTGAGTGCTGGAGGAATTCAGAAGAAGAGCTCAATTTTAGTTGGAATGATCAGGAAAGGTTTTCTGGAAGATTTTAACAAAAGATCTTGATAAGTAAAGATGGGAGCAGGGCATTCTAGGAGGGGACCGTGGTATGAACCAAGGCAGCTTTGAAGGAACATAGCCCCCAGGGCAGTGAATAACCCACTTTTCCATAAAGGAGTCTTGGAAAGGTAAAATGAGGCCAGACTAAAGAAACCGAAGCCTACTTAAGATGGTGTACTTTACCCGTTGGCAATGGGGAGCCTAGAGGATTAATGTTGCTTCCTGATACTTGTTGAGATTCTCTCCTACTTGCAGACAAAGTGGTTGGTTATATTTCTTTTTTTTATCACTTGGGAATCATGTAATTTCTTGGCCACTTAGAACAGAATGATTTCAGATTCTACTCTGCAATTAGGTATGGTTTTGTGGAGGTCTATCCTAAGATTGATCTTCTCAGGTAAAACACCAGTTTTTAAGATGGATTCCCAAGTACCAACCACTATACGGGAACTTAGAAGTTACTCCTGGAATAAAGAAATCTAGTAGCTGCAAGCTGGGACCCGCTACCCTGGCACTGCAATCTGTTTAGCACCACCCAGTCTAAACTCCTGGCACTTACAGATACTATAAAAACATCAGGAACCGCAGTTGCACCATAACAGGTGATCCGACCCCTATCAAGAGAGAAAGGCAGTGAACAGATCCCACTACTACTTCATTTCAGAAAAGAACAGCCATTACGGTGTTCACTTGATTTAAGTCTCTAGCCTGTGTTCTAAATACTTGAGGCAAATACTACGGTGAATCTAATAAAGTACTATGTAGGCCTCCTATTGCTCCTCTGACACCTCAAAGCGTGTAAAGTGAAATTCGCCTCCTCAGTTTCCTATTCGCCTATGAAGCACCAGAAACTGAAGGAAAGCACAAATCTATATTATTTGCTTAAAAATCGAAGGCCTGAGGACCAAAAATCTCCAACATAAGATGGGATACATAAACTGGAGATTTCCGACGGAATGCAATTTCGTTTTTCCCCAAAGCAGTCTAGAGTCTACTCCCACTTCAGCTTTTAGGATGACCTTAAACAAAGGTAAACTGTTCACCAACCTCCCCTTCTCCCCCACCAAGGTGGGGGCAGTGTCACAGTTTGATCTGCAAAAGACTGTTGGTCGATCAAAGACTTAAGGCTTCCCAGGCCACCAAAGGCGGTGTTCCCCGCTGAGAGGCGGATCTGCGACGGGGGCCCGCACACCCACTCCGCATTTGCCTCGCGCGGCGGCCCTGGGACTAGGCTGAGCTCCGGCCTGGCCCGTCCCGAGCCGGAGCCTGATCCACACGTCTCAGGCCCAGCGGGCTGGGAAGACACAGCACTCACCAGGACTGCTGGCCGTCGGGGGAAGACGGGGCACGAGCAGCCCACGCACCGCGAAATTGCTTGGAGGCCGCCCCGGAGGCGGCGCGCAGTGAGAGTGGCCGGAAATGTTTACAACACCGCCCGCGGAGAGGCCCGGAGGCCCGGCCGGCGCCGCGGCGGGGGTCTCGAGACCCTCAGGACGTTCGGGCGGGTTGGCCCGCGGGCTGTCCTCGCCTCAGGCCTGGGCCGAGGCTCCCAGGGGACCCGCGCTCCGGCCGATCCCCGCCCACCCGCTCGCCGTGGCAGCCCGGGGACACTTACGGCCGGGCGGGCTCTACTGGGGCCGCGGTCCCGCGCTACATCCCGCGGCGCTGGAGGCGGCCTGCGGCCGAGCGGCCCGGATTCTCAGCCCCCTCCCCGCGCCGGAAGAGGCGCGCGCCTACAGGCGTCACTTCCGCGGTCGCGTCACCTCTTCCCGGCGCTCCCTCTCCTCGCACCAGGCGGTTCCCCCAGCCCCGCCCCCTGTCACGCCCTCGACCACGCCCCCCGGCCCCCGCCCCTTCGCTCCGCTCCCGCAGTGAACTCCCGCTCGCCAGAACTCGCGAGGGCCACACCCTCAAGTCGCAAACTGGAGCGCGTGATGGAAAAGGACTTTCGGGGAATTGGACCCAACCCTCCGAAGGAACCTACCTTACACCTTGTTCTCTAAGCTGGGAAATGCCCTACGTCTCATCTTTTACCAACGCCAGTCGTTTTATCTCCGAAACGCTTCCTAATCTCTCTTCTCCGACCTCGTGGTCCCTCCCTCCTTTACACAAATACTCGTCGGGCTCATATCACATGCAGGGCACAGGGCTGGTCTTGGCTCCCGTTATTTCTCATCAGAACAGCGGAATCGTTTCTACTAGCCTTGCTTGAGGACGCCCCGCTGCAGCGCGTGCTACCACACTGCAGCCAGAGTGGTGGCCCCAGACTGCATGTTGGGGAGGCTCCAGGGTGGTGGGTCCTCATCGGAACCACAGAACAGTTTTCTCAGTTCTTCCAGGGATGGTATGTAACTAGTGATATTCTGGACGCAGAGAGAAGGTAGTTTATCATAATCTTATATGGATGCCTCAGGGCAGTGGGATTAATGTTATTGGTGCTGGTTAAAAGCGTGGGCTGGCCAGCCTATGATCTACACCTTACTGAACCCTTCCAAATGATAATTACCTCATCTGAAAAATGGGAATAAAATAGTGCTATTTCACTGGGTCTTTGTCAGGATTAAGTGAGATAATTTACCCAGGCTGATGCTTGGCAAATGGTAAGTGCTTCACGAACGTTGGATGTGGTGTGTTGCCTGAACCCCCAGAAACGTCCACTGTCCACGGAGTTGAGTTGAAGTCTCTTCAGCATGGCATCTCAAGGCCTCATCTTCCTCCACCTTCCCTCTGGCATTTGGGCCTAAAGGGACTTTTCAAAGTTCTCCAAATATGAACTTCTCTTTCATTCCTCCGGGCTTTTGCCCATGCTGATCCTTCTGTTGGATTTCCCTTCGCCCATTCTCTGCTGAAATATCCAAGCAACTTACAATGCCCAGTTCTAGGCTCAGCTTTTGACTGAGACAATCTTAGGTTCACATTCAGGCTCTGCCAGCTACTGACCAGCTGTCTGACCTTTGGCAATCCTTAATCTTAGACTCACAGGGCTGTCATAAATTATATGATCTGTACTTAGCACAGTACCTGGTACGTGGCTGTTAATTCTTCTCTGAATCTTTCCCAGCCCCTCCCTATCTGCACCGTGTATGTATCTCTACTACAGTATTAATCACACCATGTTGTAATTGTTGATCACTTTTCTTTCTTACTCTAGACTATGAGTACTTTGGAGGTCTAAGACCAGTCTTGGTCACAATCATATCTTCAGGGCCCAGCACAGTGCTTGGCACATGGCAGGTCTTTAATACAGGTCTGTATGTCGAGTGGGTGAGGCAGAAACCCATGCAAGACAAGGAATGGTAAGCTTCCACGTGGGAAATTCTCTTTGCTGGGCTGCTTCACTATCTGAGCCCAACAATCCTAAGCAAGATTTTCCTTTTTGGAGGTCAAGTGGCCAAGTGTGTCTCACAGAGCACAGTGCCATACACATACTAGCTGATCAAGAAATATTTGATACAATACCAACAACAGAATTCACTAACGACTCTGCCCTCTGGAGGGGGATATTCTGAGGGTCCCACAAGGCTTTCTTTCAGGGGCCCCAGGGAAAGCAATACACAGTTCCATGCAGAAAGACAATGTCTACCCTCCTCCTGAGACTGATGCTTTGTGCTGTCCCATTGGGACTAACAAAGAAGATCTGAAAAAGCTGCCCTAGTCCAGTCCTGGGAGAAGGGAGTGGACTCAGTCATGCTCTCATAGCAGAGGAGACAGGCAGTCAGGACAGATGGGCCTGGGGGAAGCCAGCTCTGTCCAGGCACCAACAAGTCTGGCCAGGGCTGGTGATATCAGGTTCCTTTTTAAAGGAGAAGGCTTCTCTTCCAAACAGAAAGACAATACTCTGGTTTGTTTGCCTGGTACCCTGAAAGATAAATATGGTGAAGGAAGGGCCAAGAGAAAGAAGGGAAGGAGGGGCCAAACCAGGGGACCACTGTGACGGCTTCCTGGTTTCAAAAAGCATCCCCTCTAACTTGTGTTCTCTTTCCCCCCCGTTAAAAGCCTCCAGGGAGAAGTTGAGCTTCTGGCTCTGCTGAGACAGCTGCTAAGATGATCACCGAGTTTGGTGGCAGCTCACATTTCAGCACATGGTACAACTGCTCAACGGTTCTTTGGAAGAACTGGGAGAAATTCTGTGCTGGGAAACCCTTCCTCCCAAGATTCTCAGGCATGAAAAGCCTTGGACACAAGGACTCCAGACACAACAACCCCTTAGGTATAACACTGGGACCTTAGTCCCATTTATTTGCATAGCCAGAGGTTCCTGCCACAAGCAGCAGTCTTAGACTGCGGATGGCTATTTCCCTCCAGCCTGTGCAGGGACACAGAGAGACAGACACAAATCAATATTTCAGATTCCATTCTCTAAGGTCTGGAGAAACCATTTCCTTTTTTCCTGCGATCTCTGTAAGACTACCTCTGTAAGTCTGCTCAACTTGCACTCACTCACACATACAGAATCTGCTACGGGTTAAGCACTGAATATTAAGTAAAACCCATTGGATAGATTGTTCCTTTCATCACTGACACAAAGAAGAGTGTCATGCTATCAACGAACTAGCCAGTCTTGGAACAAATGTTCAGGCTTCCTTCTTTCTGACCCATGGAAGAGACTGTTCCATGGATCTGACCTGGACCTCTTATCACAGGAAGATTTAGGGGGCCTTCCAGGGAACAACTCAGCCTTGGCCCTCTTCCATGGCTACAAGGATGTTGTTCCTGCAGGTACCATGCAGATTTCAGCTGCAGAGTAAGACAAAAAGGCTGATCCTGTCAGGAAAGGAATCTAGGGCTTATGGCATTTATGTACTGACTGGGGACAACTGCAGGGACCAGGGAACTAGGGGATGCTCAGTAGGTGAATCGCATCTTCTGCGAGTAGCCCAGTTTGTCCAAGTTGGGATGGCAGGCCAGCTGTACCATCGGGGGAGGCCCACAGAGCAGCAGCAGCACGTCATCCCCTGGGGCGGGCAGGTGGTCCTGGATCATGTCAGCAGTCACAAAGCCCTTGCTGTAGGCCCACTCTGAAGGATGGGGGAGAGGAGAGAACTGACAGTCTAGACCCATGCTGCAAGGGGGTGTAGTGCCAGGAGATGGGGAGGGCCCAGAGAGGCTCCTGAGCAGGTATCCGGTATAGCAGCAGCTGGACGGGTAGTGGCAGAGCCATCCCTGCCACCCCATGGTGAACAGTAACTGGAAGGAAAGGGCCAGGAGACCCGTGTTCCCATGCACTTGGACTTGGGAATCTGGCAGTGACAGGGAGCGTTGGTTTCACGGAAACCAGAACTCAGAGGTGCAAGGCCCTGATTTTGGGAGGTCCAGAGTACCTTCTGGGGGGTGATCCAGAGTGAACCAGAGCTTAAAGCGATTGGGATATCGGGCCTGCAGTTCCTCCAAGTCCTCTCGTAAGATTATATCCTTTTCAGTCTGAAATGAAAAGGGGAAGCAGTCTTTAGGAAACTTCTCAGGCCCACATAAAAAATTGCTCTGCTATAATAGCTCTCCAACCAGGAGGGAAAGAGGAAACTCAAGTTCTAGGGAATAAGCAGAACTTTTAGGGAGTTAGGATGAGGGGAAGGAGAGGGGTACAGCCTCTATTTACACAGTATAAGGGAATAAAGATGGAACATTTAACCAAGGACAACCACATTTCTATGTCAGGACTAGATTCCTTACATGTTTTCTTTCCTTCTTTCCTTTGGGCAGGGAAGGAATCTGGCCCAGTGCTCTGTCCTCCTTATTGTAGGAGAGGGTCCTCTACCTTGTGGGGGCACCTTGGGCAGAGGCTAGCACAGGCACTGGACCAGTTCTGGCTGTCAGCACCACACCTCTTAGCCCTACCCACACAGTGACTTTGCAGTCCCAGGACTGAGAAAAGCAAACCAACCTGGTTGGCAAAAAGCAGAGAGCACTGGGTTGGATCTTCAGGGTCATTCAGGATGGCCCGGGTCAGCTGTAGCATTGGGGTGATTCCTGCATAAAGATACCCCAGAGTGAGATAGGGTGGCCACAGCCTCTCCCCTGACCCAGACCCTTAGGTGACCAACCCTTTCTCTTAATTCTCCTCATTCACCACTCCACTCCATTTTCCTTTAGTGCCCCAATCCTCTAATCTCCTCCTGTGTATCCTCCAGTACCTACATTTCTGGACAGATATGCCCTTTACCCCAGACTCACTAAAATTCCTATATGGTAGGTGAATTGTGGTCATGCTCAATACTAAATTCATACTGCTGAAATCCTTCTAAGGAGTCAATCTAAGACTCTTCCTCTGCAAGTCCCATGGAGGCTAGGACTCAAATGTCACAGATGACTACAAGTACCCACTGATTCAGTGATGTGGGTTCTGGAACACTGGACATGCAGGTCAAGTGCATGTGCTTTGGAATTCGGCAGAGTAGATACTAATCCTGCCTCTGGCCATTACCAATTAAACAACCCTATGGAAGCCATTTAACCTCTCTGAACCTCCAGTCTGTTGTCTGTAAAAGGGGAAGGCTAGTACCTACTTGGTAGATACATACATAAAGTGACTAGCATAATGTCTAATATAGAAGTATCCAATGTTAATTTTCTTTCTTGTTGACTATCCTTTTCCTAACTGATTCTCTCTATTCTCATCTAAAACTTATTAGATGCATTCAATTTGAGGTCTTGGGAGAGCCCACCTGATTTACTTCTCTCATTCTATCAGTTAAAAAAAAATCTTTTTTGGTTTCTACCTGATTATGATTTTGTTTATCAGATACTGGGGAGCTCTAGGCACCGCTGGGAATCCTGATTAACA